AAACAAGATCCAAGTTTGGTTCAATACAGTACACAATCCGTGATTTGATCCCATCAGTGAAGGATGCGATTCCGGACATGCAAATGTCCTGGTATCTATAAGCTGCGTTGTGTCTGTGGCAGCCGTTACATTGAAATTCGGCGACATGTCTCAGACTGGGTTCGCGAACACAAAGCAGATTTGAAACACGGCAGAACCAACACCTCGGTGGTGGCGGATCATTGTTTCAACACTGTGGGCACACATGACATTGTTTTTTCAGAGACCAAGGTACTCTGCAAACCCTCATACTACCATCAGATTTGTTCATGAAGCCATCCAGATATACTAACAGACAGAACTGTAATCGAGAAGATGGGTTCAGATTGAGCAATCATTGTAAGGACGTGATAAACCACGTCAAGTTTTAACTGTTGTGATTTTCCCTCACCCACCCGTGCCGTTTTTGTTTTCGGTTACTAATTCAAGCTCATTGACATATAACTTTCTCCAGCCCCACTCGTCCCTGCACACCACAAACTCCCCCCCCCCCCCCCCCCCCCCCCGTGAACTCCTGCAGCCACGCCTCTACAAACCACCCCCTTCCCCCTTTTTCCCGTGCCTATATAAAGCCACAACAGCAGGATCATTCTTTCTCACCTGATGACGGACGCTTGTGTTGCGACCGAAACGTCCTGTTTTTTTCTCTTCTATTTACGTGACTTTAACGAAAGAACCGGAGAGAATGGATTCCTGCAGTCACGAAAGCTTCAAATCAAGAATACTCCCACTTCAACAGCAAAAGCCTGTAAAGGCAACCTGTCTCGAGTCTTTCGGCGTCCCCCCACCCCCCCCCCCCCCCCCCCCCCCCCACATAAGCAGATCCTAAGCCATTTGCATCTCTTACAATGACCACATTCATATATCTAATGGTGGTCTCCAGTACTGGCATCACACAATGGAAGTGACGATGAACTTGGTCCTGGAAATGCTTAACCCCTGGCCTTGCCATAAGACCAGCATGGGTTGGTTAAGGAAAATTGTGCTGCCATCCTGCTTGGGATGGTGACATTACTCCTTGAGTTGGTGATCTGAACAATAACACTGCCACACTTCAGCCTCAAAGCTAGTCGTTTGTACGAGGCCGAGTGTACATGCAGTGATGGTCGCATAGCACGGATGCGCTACATGATGGGATTTGGGCATTCTTGCTGTTTGTGAGCACGTCTCTTGTTAATCTGGCTTTGTTTATGTACAGATTGAGATAAATGCATGCATTAAATCCTTTGCATGACTTTGAGTTTAAGGTTAACGCTGCTCCTCCCTGTGCAGCTGCCCCATGCAGTGTACTTGCTGCAGTGTGATCTTCCCTGGTCACTGACCTGCTGCTGCCTTCTCAATACAAGCGTCTGACACTCCCAGGTCTTCGCCTCCATGAGCCCTGGCCGCAGCACCACCCGCGATCTCGTGAGTGCTTGAAACCTTTGCTCATTAAAAACCAGGTAAAGTCGCGAAGTTAGAAAAATAATAGATCACGACGTTTAGATTGCAACACAAGCAATTGTCATCAGGTGGGACAACCACAGCAAGAAAAAAACTGCTGAAGTATCGAGAGATCTGCTGTGGCACGAGGTTATATAGGCCTCGGTAGTAGGGGGGAGAGACAAGAGGGGGGGGGGGCAGAAAGTAGACCCCGCAGCAGCAGCAGCAGCAGCACCCGCAGCAGCAGCACCCGCAGCAGCAGCACCCGCAGCAGCAGCACCCGCAGCAGCAGCACCCGCAGCAGCAGCACCCGCAGCAGCAGCACCCGCAGCAGCAGCACCCGCAGCAGCAGCACCCGCAGCAGCAGCACCCGCAGCAGCAGCACCCGCAGCAGCAGCACCCGCAGCAGCAGCAGCACCCGCAGCAGCAGCACCCGCAGCAGCAGCACCCGCAGCAGCAGCACCCGCAGCAGCAGCACCCGCAGCAGCAGCACCCGCAGCAGCAGCACCCGCAGCAGCAGCACCCGCAGCAGCAGCACCCGCAGCAGCAGCACCCGCAGCAGCAGCACCCGCAGCAGCAGCACCCGGGTCACTGGAGTAAAGTGGGCCACTGCGGCAGTACTGGAGAGGTTGGCTGCAGGAGGGGAGACAGAAGGGGGGGGGGGGGGCAGAAAGTGGACCCCACAGCAGCACTCGGGTCACTGGAGGAGAGATTGGAGATGGAGACCGAGAGAGAAAGACAGTCGGAAATAACAGCTGACATAGGCAGGTAGGACAGAAACATCAGTCGGTTAAGAAATCAACCATTTAGCTAGTACTGATCTTAGGCTGTCCGAAATTGGGATGTTACTATGATTGATGACAATCTTGTTAACATCTATTTACCATCACTTTGTCATACATAGCAGGGGTTACCAAAAAGATTTCCAAAATCTTAAACACAAGATCCAGGTCCGATTCAATATTCCTGACATGCAATATCCGGTTGTCTACAAATAGAGTTGTGGCTGCGGCAGCAGTTACATTGGGGAAACGAAACGACATGTCTCGGACCGCATTTGCGAACACAAGGCAGATCTTAAACACGGTAGGACCAATACCTCTGCCGTTGCTGATCATTGTTTTAACGCAGTGGGCTCACACGAAATTGACTTTTCCAGACGAAGGTACTCTGCAAACCCACCGGCTATTATCAGAGATTTGAAACGATCCAGATATATAAACATAGACATAACTTCAACCAATAAAATGGATATAAAATGAGGAATCACTTGGAAGGACGTTATTAACCAGGTAAAACCTGAACTGTGTATGGTTGTTTCCATCATTTGCCGGGTACTCGTCTATTTTTCCAAGTTAATTTCCCCCCCGCATCCCCAGCTTTCCCGGCCTCCCACTTCCAGCCCCGCCCACTCCCCCCCCCAGCCTCACGTCCTCTCTCTCCCGCAGTGCCCCCTTCCCTACCTATATAACCCTCTTGCCACGGCAGCTCTCTCCCACTTCAGCTATTTTTTCCTGCTGTGGTTTTCCCACCTGATGATGATTGCTTGTTTGTCACACTGGAAGGAATACATTCACACAAATGTTCTCTTTTGGTGTCTTCCAGGGTTTAAGCCCTTGGCCCACTTTTGTTCTACATATATTTGGCCCCACTTGGCCATATCATACACCAACGTGGACTTTGTTTTCATTGTTACGCTGATGTCACTCAAATTTATATTAACGTTTAATCCTCCCTCAATCCAGCAGCATCTTGTGTGTCATGTTTTCTTGTGATAAGGCGTGGATGTAGTTTAACTTTCTTCAGTTAAAAGCTGATAAGACAGAGGTTCTGCTTGTTGGGTCCCGTCATCAATTGTCTAAGGCTGTCTTGGTCAGTGTGTTGATGGCCACAGTGTCGGTGCTTCTCAGTTTACAATCTTGGTGTTGTCCTTGATCCCTCACTAACCTTCGAAGCACACATTAACAAGGTCTGTGTGTGCTGAGGACGCACCTCCATGCAATGGGTGACCGGGCCTTTCCCGTGTTGCCCCCAAGCTGTGGAATTAACTTCCATCGAATATTCGATCTGCTGAGTCCCTCGCTTTTGTTAAATACCACCTGAAGATTTTTTTTTCCCTTAAGGGCCTTTTCTCCGTGTTAATGTGGTTATGTTTGGCAGGGAGGTGTTGATTTGCATCTGTGGTTAAATGAGCCTGCGTTCTTGTATTAGGTTACATAATTGCGTGAGTCATTTACTAGCTTTTAGCTCTGTGCAGCGCCTTGCAACCTCTTGAGTGAAACGCGCTTCATGAGTGTCAATTATTACATAGTGCACTCTACGCACAAACGCCACCCTCAGCATTTCGCTTGGGAGATCATCTCTGCTCGGCGATTTTCCTGGTCTCAAACTCTGGATCCCCTTCTGTACTTCCTCAACAGATGGCACTTCAGCCAGCCACTGACAGGGTGTGACTACTTCTTCCAATATTTGAGAAGCCTCAAAAGGGTTATCCCCACTTTGCCCCATATTTTTCCAGGCTCAGGGATTTCCCCTCCCCCAAGACCTCACAACAATAACAACCGCCATTCGCCACTAAGTGGCGGTGACGTCACCACGACGCTTGTGCCAGGCCATGTGCACCTTGAGGCCACGTGAAGTGTCGAACGCCCGCTGGCAGGTCACGGGGCAGACCCAGGTGCCACGGGTCGACTGACTGAGATGACTGAGATGACTGGCTGGTGCACCACCTGTGCCCCCTACTGTGCCAACCTGCTGTGCTTTAGCCACCCGGCGCTCCGCTCGTTGTTGTGAGCGTCGCTCCTCCGCCCTCCGTTGTTGTTGGAGGGCGACTGCCTCCAACTGCCCAGTAGCGTCCTTCACGAGCCTCCTCCACAGAAGCCGATCTTGACACCGCTGGCACCAGTCATCGGCAAGTCCACTCAGCTCCACGTCCTCCTGTACCACATCACTCCATCTCTTCTCCAGCCCGTGCCGCGCCCGTTTAGCCCCCTCGATCCGGCCGAACAAAAGCTGTTTCGGCATGCGCGGTGGCTGGGCATGCGGGCTACATGACCCAGCCAACGCAGCCTTGCCCGCCGGAGGAGCTCACCGACGATGGGACCTTGCCCAGATCTTTACACACACACACAAACACTTGCGCGCGCACGCACGCACTCCCAGCGCGAGGCTGACTCAGAGTTCCGCAGGTTTAATTCGCAAATTGCGAGTTCCAGTTTTAACTTAACGTAAAAAAAAAGTTTAATATTTCATGGAAGCAGGATCGTAAGTGCGAGTGTTTGGAAGTCTCAAGTTCGTAAGTCGATGACTGCATGTCGTTGAGTTTAAAGGAGGGAGCAAAAGCAAGGAATCGATTCTAAAAAATAATAATTTGGAATCTATAATCGATTTCTTGACTTAAAGCTTTCGGGACAGCAGGGATTCATACTCTTTGGGTCTTTCGGTAAAGTCACGTAGATAAAAAATAATAATTTATTTTTAAAAGAATTGTTTCTTATTTTTCTATCTACGTGAGTTTGCCGAAAGAGTATCGATTTCTTACTTCCGCTGAATTCGTCCTGATACATTAAAACGCTGCGCGATTAAATCGGTCACGGCGATCCGACTCCAGCCGGAGAATCTAGAGCCGCGATTACTGGAATCGATCCCATGCGGCTGCCTCCCGCCACGCTGTGAGTATCCAAAGTCGACCCCGAACCCGCGGAGTGGTCGTGGTGGTGGTGGTCGTGGTGGTCGTGGTCGTGGTGGTCGTGGTGGTGGTGGTCGTGGTGGTGGTGGTGGCCGTGGTGGTGGTGGTCGTGGTGGTGGTGGTGGTCGTGGTGGTGGTGGTCGTGGTGGTGGTGGTCGTGGTGGTGGATTCCCGCTCGCGACCACCACCACTTGACGATTACCTCGACCGGTCCCGGGGCCTGCCCTAGGTCGACTCGGCCTCAAATGAGTAACCCGGCGCGATGTGTTAACATCGCCACTTGGGGAGACGAAGGCGGTCGGGCGTGGTGTTGGCCTCGTGTGCCGCGGTTGTAGAAGCTGTCTCTGTGTCCAGGTGTCTCTGTGGTGTAGAGGCTGTCTCTGTGGTATAGAGGCTGTCTCTTGTGTCCAGGTGTCTCTGGTGTAGAGGCTGTCTCTGTCGTGTAGAAGCTGTCTCTGTGGTGTGGAGGCTGTCTCTGTGTCCAGGTGTCTGGTGTGGAGGCTGTCTCTGTGGTATAGAGGCTGTTTCTGTGTCCAGGTGTCTCTGTGGTATAGAGGCTGTCTCTGTGTCCAGGTGTCTGGTGTAGAGGCTATCTCTGTGGTGTGGAGGCTGTCTCTGTGTCCAGGTGTCTGTGGTATAGAGGCTGTCTCTGTGTCCAAGTGTCTCTGGTGTAGAGGCTGTGTCTGTGTCCAGGTGTCTGGTGTAGATGCTGTCTCTGTGGTGTAGAGGCTGTCTCTGTGTCCAGGTGTCTCTGTGGTGTAGAGGCTGTCTGTGTCCAGGTGTCTGGTGTAGAGGCTGTCTCTGTGGTGTGGAGGCTGTCTCTGTGGTGTGGAGGCTGTCTCTGTGGTATGGAGGCTGTCTCTGTGGTGTGGAGGCTGTCTCTGTGGTGTGGAGGCTGTCTCTGTGTCCAGCTGTCTCTGTTGTGTAGAGGCTGTCTCTGTGTCCAGCTGTCTCTGTGGTGTAGAGGCTGTCTCTGTGTCCAGCTGTCTCTGTGGTGTAGAGGCTGTCTCTGGTGTGGAGGCTGTCTCTGTGGTGTAGAGGCTGTCTCTGTGTCCAGCTGTCTCTGTGGTGTAGAGGCTGTCTCTGGTGTGGAGGCTGTCTCTGTGGTGTAGAGGCTGTCTCTGTGTCCAGCTGTCTCTGTGGTGTAGAGGCTGTCTCTGGTGTGGAGGCTGTCTCTGTGGTGTAGAGGCTGTCTCTGTGTCGAGGTGTCTCTGTGGTGTAGAAGCTGTCTCTGTGTCCCTGTGTCTGGTGTGGAGGCTGTTTATGTGGTGTGGAGGCTGTCTCTGTGGTGTGGAGGCTGTCTCTGTGGTGTGGAGGCTGTCTCTGTGGTGTGGAGGCTGTCTCTGTGGTGTGGAGGCTGTCTCTGTGGTGTGGAGGCTGTCTCTGTGGTGTGGAGGCTGTCTCTGTGGTGTGGAGGCTGTCTCTGTGGTGTGGAGGCTGTCTCTGTGGTGTGGAGGCTGTCTCTGTGGTGTGGAGGCTGTCTCTGTGGCGTGGAGGCTGTCTCTGTGGCGTGGAGGCTGTCTCTGTGGTGCGGAGGCTGTCTCTGTGGTGTGGAGGTTGTCTCTGGTGTAGAAGCTGTTTCTGTGTCCAGGTGTCTCTGTGGTGTAGAAGTTGTCTCTGTCCCTGTGTCTGGTGTGGAGGCTGTCTCTGTGGTGTGGAGGCTGTCTCTGTGGTGTGGAGGCTGTCTCTGTGGTGTGGAGGCTGTCCCTGTGTCTGGTGTGGAGGCTGTCTCTGTGGTGTGGAGGCTGTCTCTGTGGTGTGGAGGCTGTCTCTGTGGTGTGGAGGCTGTCTCTGTGGTATGGAGGCTGTCTCTGTGGTGTGGAGGCTGTCTCTGTGGTGTGGCGGCTGTCTCTGTGGTGTGGAGGCTGTCTCTGTGGTGTGGAGGCTGTCTCTGTGGTGTGGCGGCTGTCTCTGTGGTGTGGCGGCTGTCTCTGTGGTGTGGAGGCTGTCTCTGTGGTGTGGAGGCTGTCTCTGTGGTGTGGAGGCTGTCTCTGTGGTGTGGAGGCTGTCCCTGTGTCTGGTGTGGAGGCTGTCTCTGTGGTGTGGAGGCTGTCTCTGTGGTGTGGAGGCTGTCTCTGTGGTATGGAGGCTGTCTCTGTGGTGTGGAGGCTGTCTCTGTGGTGTGGCGGCTGTCTCTGTGGTGTGGAGGCTGTCTCTGTGGTGTGGAGGCTGTCTCTGTGGTGTGGCGGCTGTCTCTGTGGTGTGGCGGCTGTCTCTGTGGTGTGGAGGCTGTCTCTGTGGTGTGGAGGCTGTCTCTGTGGTGTGGAGGCTGTCTCTGTGGTGTGGAGGCTGTCTCTGTGGTGTGGAGGCTGTCTCTGTGGTGTGGAGGCTGTCTCTGTGGTGTGGAGGCTGTCTCTGCGGTGTGGAGGCTGTGTCTGCGGTGTGGAGGCTGTGTCTGCGGTGTGGAGGCTGTGTCTGCGGTGTGGAGGCTGTGTCTGCGGTGTGGAGGCTGTCTCTGTGGTGTGGAGGCTGTGTCTGTGTCCAGGTGTCTCTGGTGTAGAAGCTGTCTCTGTGTCCCTCTGTCTGGTGTGGAGGCTGTCTCTGTGGTTTGGAGGCTGTCTCTGTGGTGTGGAGGCTGTCTCTGTGGTGTGGAGGCTGTCTCTGTGGTGTGGAGGCTGTCTCTGTGGTGTGGAGGCTGTCTCTGTGGTGTGGAGGCTGTCTCTGTGGTGTGGAGGCTGTCTCTGTGGTGTGGAGGCTGTCTCTGTGGTGTGGAGGCTGTCTCTGTGGTGTGGAGGCTGTCTCTGTGGTGTGGAGGCTGTCTCTGTGGTGTGGAGGCTGTCTCTGTGGTGTGGAGGCTGTCTCTGTGGTGTGGAGGCTGTCTCTGTGGTGTGGAGGCTGTCTCTGTGGTGTGGAGGCTGTCTCTGTGGTGTGGAGGCTGTCTCTGTGGTGCGGAGGCTGTCTCTGTGCTGCGGAGGCTGTCTCTGTGGTGTGGAGGCTGTCTCTGTCTCTGTGTCCAGGTGTCCAGGTCTCCATGGAGATGGACCCAATGTGCTCTTGGGTGCCGCCAGCTGCTGCTTCTGCGCTTGATGCGGCACTCATGAAGCAGGAGGAGCGGACGCCATGGACGCATGCGGCGTTGAAGCTGGAGGGTGAGGGCCCTTCCCTCTGCACTCACCGCATACTTTGCACACTCGCCCTACTCACCACGCTCACTCACCACACTCGCCTCACTCACTCATCCTGCTCAACACACTCGGCCTACTCGCTCACAACGCTCACTCACCCTGCTCAGCACACTCCCCATGCTCGCTCACAACACTCACTCCACTCACTACCTATACTCAATCTTCTCACCCCACTCGCTGCACTCATCACTCACCCTGCTCAACACACTCACCACACTCGCTCGTCCCACTCACGTACTACACTCGCATACCACGCCTGGACCAGAAGTAGTCACACTCGACTTGTTGATGTCCAACTGAACACCGCAAAGCGGTGCATCACTGGAACCCTCAAGTAGACCCCAACACCCCTGGCTGCCCATGCTGTCACAAATCTCTCCCCAACCCATCCACCGCAATGCTGAAATCCTCCGGGAAGTCCTGAGAATCGAGGAAAATAGTCGCCTTGCCATTCCCCAGGACCTCAATAACGTCCCACATCATCGCTTGCAGTTACCCTTTTTGACCCCATGCGCTTAACCTTTAACAGTGCGAGTTCAACCCCAATGAACCTTGTAGAGCTGAATGGAGTTCAAAAGAACTCGCAAACACCTTGTGAAAGACTTAATGCAGAAGATCCCTGGCTTTGATCTTCTCATCTGATGGTTCACCATAAATTGCATCCGCACAAACCATGGCAGATGCAAATGGAAAATTAAAAGCTCTCTAGTAGTGTGCGACTGTGGTCATCCAGAATAAACCGTAAAACTTATAGCGACGCAATGGCCGATCTACAAATACGAAGGAGACATCACAGCGATACAGTCCTCTGCTCCTGGCTTGACCACCTGAATGTGTAAATGTAGTTGTTGATCTGTATCAACATCAGCAGCCATACAAAAGAAGAAGACCCATCAAGACCTGAGGCTCAAAAGATCCTGCCAATTTGCTGCGTGTGATCTCAATTGAAGTAATTTTCAGGGGATTTGATTTATTTTTTGCATTGGGAAGTTTTGGCCAATATTGGTTACACCGTGCGTGTGGGTGCTTGCTTTTTTTGGGTAGCTTCAGCAGGAAACTTAAGAACCTGGAGAGAACACAAGCAGAACCAGGGGGAGAATATAAAACTCAGCGCAGAAAGGCGATGCCCGAATACCCATGATGAGCAGCGCTCAGCACTGTGCCACCATTCCACCCCACGTGTCAAATGCGGCGATCCACGTTTGATTCCCGCTCACGACCAATAACAGTGAAAGCAAGTACAGTCTGTTGATCTCCTATAACACGGTAGTAGTTGCCTTTGCTGAATAAAACCGCATTATGGGAAAAACGCATTATAAATAATATATGATAAAGCACAGTCCGCGATAACATGTAAGTTGAGTACGCAGGCTGAACAAAGACTGGGGTATGTGGGTAGCATCGTGAATCATCCAGCAGCATCCCAATGCCTTGTGCGATGATGCTACGCCAAGACAGCCGTACAACGGATTATTCATACTCGCGTGACTCATTTCTGTTCACTCGATCGCATTTTAAGCAATTCGCATCCGTGTTATGAAAAATGTGTTGCTTAATACATGCATGGCGTTTTAGGATAACAGACTGTATTTGAACCAGGCCTAGGCCTTGCCTAGGTCGACTCAGCCTTAAATGAGTACCTTGTGTGACGTGTAACCCATTAGCACTACGGACGGCCTGCTCAGACCTCTCTGGGGGGGGATCTTTGTGTCTTTGTGCGTGCTGTAGCTACAGACAGCTGTACAGAGAGCCCGGGAGAGGCAGCGTCATGGCTCACGGTGAAAAGTGAAGCCTCAGGTGGGGGCTGAGCGCTGCTTCCCCTTCCCCACCTCCGCTCTCTGTGTTTAATTTGCTCGCCGCCATCGCCTCGTTGCGTTTTTCCAAACGCAAGTCTCAAGTCCTGGCCTCCTCGCCGTCGTCTAGAGCAGACTCAATTGGACAGCAGTGCCGGTTTGAAATCAAATGCACCCCCCGCATGCCGCACAGGGCCTACGAAAATGAAAAGCATAATAATCATACAGCGCTACCGAACGTCGGCTGTATTAAAAAAAAAAAACAGTATAGCTAAATTCCCATCAACAACCCACGTAATGTAAAAACACTTAAATGAATAAAATGATTTGTATAGCTACTCACTTAGTGCCGCGGCTGCTCATTTCCTGTTGCCCGACACCTCTTTGTTTAGACCACTACATTGTAGTTTGGAACAAGTGGACTGGACTCTTGCTAGCTTTGTTTTTTTATTTAAACTGCCATTTGAAATGGGGGATTTTTCTGCTGGAGTGATGAGGATGGTCGTCAGATCGGTAGGAAGTACGTGCATAGAACCAGTGTGAGGAACTTCCTCGGATTTCTAGGGACAAAGGTGGTGGGGGAGGGGTCATTGTACTTCTGCAGATGTCTATCACACAAGTAAGGCCCAATGACCTATGTAGCTCTCTTTCAGAAGGAGATCTGCCCACAAGTGATAACTCAAATAAGTGGCTTATCTCATGGAAATTTATAGCAGCCAAATACTCTAAACGCACGTTTCTAAATCTGGAGGTGAAATCTGGAGGCGAGACCTGGAGGGGAAACCTGGAGGAGCCGGAAAGAAATCCACGTGACCACGGAAAGAGAGAGACACGCAAACTCCACATATACAGCAGGCGTCAGGGTCGGGATCGAACCCACGACCTCCTGTATACCAGGAAAGGTAGTTAACATCTCTTAGCCACCAGATAAAGTTGCCGTGGGGGTGACGGGGGGGCTCTGTGTGCATGCATTGCAGTGGGCGAACCGGGTGAAGGCGGCTGGGGGGGGGGGGGGGGATGCCTGGGCTAGGTCATCGAGAAGGTGGGGTTTGAATGCATGGGAAAAGAGAGTTGATTTAATGTTTTACGGCAAGGCACGCAAAAATCCCCTGTTTAAATTCAGGTTGAATTTATGTCGAAGCTTTAAAATATATAAATATATAATAATATATTTAAATAAGTGGTAAAGATTAAAACACTTGGCAAGCCTGGAGGAAAGGGGGCTTGGGGTGCCGGGTCTGGCCCGCATTAGGTGTTTGACACCCCCTGGTCTAGAGCTTAGAAAACCTGCTGGTTATGTCCGTTAGGCGATTAATGTAGCCAATAATTTTTCCGGTCGCATCTTTCTCTCAAAACTTTTCAGCTTCAGCCCAGGGGTTGAAAACCAAAATAAAATAAAACGCAATATTTCAAGCGCCACAATATGCATCAAGGTGAATACGAAACAGCGGTCCTTAATAAATAAACGTCACGAAGCAGTTGCTCAAAGAGCTGCCGCATGCAGCTGCGAGCCACAAGTTTGCCGACCCCTGTTTCAGCCATGTGTCTTCAGACTTCTTGAACTGCTTGTTCTCTCCTTCTTTTGTTCTACCCCATTCCCTTTCTCCTCCTACATACGTGTCTGGGCACTCCAACGTGTCACAGGTGCATTACAACATACGGGGTAGTTACGTTCCCACGCGCTCCCCTCGTTGACTCCGAACAACCAAGAGCCACGTGCCCCCACATTTTTTTTGCCGCTGCAGAGGACGGAGTGGATGGTGCCAGCTTCCCGTGCCTGCTGTGCGGCCGTGAGTTTGGCCGCCAGAGATCTCTGCGCCAGCACGAGCGGTGGCACCGGCGGACGGCGGTGGTGGCCCCTCACCCGGAGGGACTCGGTGACGACGATGACAACGTTACCGGTGCCAGCCTCCCGGGCCAGCCAGGCTCCCGTGCCACGGAGAGGCTTCACGGCTGTGCCGTCTGCGACAAGGCGTTCAAGCGGAAGCGATATTTGATAGTGCACCAGAGGACGCACACGGGCGAAAAGCCATATGGCTGCACCGAGTGCGGTAAGGCATTCACGCAGAAGGGCCACCTGCGCATGCACCTGATGTCCCACAGCGGCGCGAAGCCATACGCGTGCAGTGTGTGCGAGAAAGCGTTCCCCAGGAAGGGGCATCTGCTGGTCCACGAGAAGACACACACCGGCGAGAGGCTGTACGTGTGCACGGTGTGCGACAAGGAGTTCTCTCGCAAGGAGCACCTCCTCGTGCACCAGCGCACGCACACCAACGAGAAGCCGTACAAGTGCCTCCTGTGCGAGATGGCGTTTAGGCAGAAGAAGTACCTGCTGATCCACCAGAGGAACCACACGGGTGAGAAGCCCTACACGTGCGCGGTGTGTGACAAGGCCTTCAAGAAGTCAGAGTACCTGCAGATCCACCAGAGGACGCACACGGGGGAGAGGCCCTACAAGTGCGTGCAGTGTGAGAAGGCATTCACGCAGAAGGGCGACCTGCAGAGGCACGAAGCAATCCACTCGGGAAAGAAACTCTTTGAGTGCCCCGTGTGCGGAAAAGCGTTTAAGCGCAAGGACTATCTTGCCATCCACAAAAATAACCACAGTGTGGTGAAGGGCGAACAAAAAGTAAAGGTGAAGTGAACCTGGGGAGAGATTCCCAGGCTCAACAAGGACGACGGCAAGATAAAGCTTCCCTGTCCACTCTTGCTGTATTTACTCCTGCCTACGCGTCGCATGACTCCTCGTGCAGTCGGAGCCACTTGCTATTGCTGATTCTCCCTTTCCCCACATTTCAACACCTAGGAGACTCACTGCAGGTGTTACCCTTTAAACTTGCAGTGTTCTTACATTCTGGAGTGTTCTTACATTCTGCACTGCAGTCAGGGTCTCATTGCTGGGTTTGTAGGCAATGGGCTTGCAGTCCACTCATTTGTGTTCTGTGTGTTGCCCTGGAGGAGTCTGTGATGTTTGCGATTGCTGGGGTAAAGTATTAATGATGGGGGGGGCTATTGCACCAACAATTAATGTAGTGGATGACCTGACTTGGCAGAGGCTGTGCGAGTATCCTACTAGTGACTGGGATTAACAAGGATGGACTCAAATGCACAAGTGGTGTCCCCGGATCATGGAAAGACTGGTTGGGGCCCCATATCCTCAGTGGCTGCTCTGCGTCGCACACTGAGGGTTCAGGAAATGCAGTCGGTGGCTCGGGACGCATTGAGGACACGGAGACGGCACTGGTATGCATGGAGCCAGGGGGCTTGTGGAGAGGAAGAGGAGTACGTGGCCCCAGTGAACGCAGTGCCTCAGGGACTCCAGCAGTAGGAGCTGTGATGCTCTTGATAAGAGCCTTTTCTTGCATTGGGATGGGAGTGCAGGTGTTTCCTCCTGCTGTGGTACATAGAACGTAGCAGACATCACGAATATGTTAGAAGCCACACCGTTGCCTTGAGTGTGGCAAGTTAGATTCCTGAGTCCTTAGACTTTTCATATAGATCCAAAAGGCCTAGTTTGGAAAATACAATTCACAGGCATGTCCTCATTCAATGATCATAATTTTCCATGTGCTAACATGAGATGGCATTGATACAAATGGACGGAAAAATATTGTCCAATTTGGTGTTTGCAGAATGTTTTTTTTATGGAATCAATTATCTTATTCCCTTCCAGTACCATTGTAATGGCTTGTTATGTTATAGTGCTCTTGGATTTCATGTTAGCTCCTCAACTCTCCTAAAACACTTCTGCTTTGTATTCTTGGTTCTTTCGGTGAGGTCACGTAGAAGGGAAACAATAAAATAATACAATAAAAATATAAAACAAAATTCTCACGACTGCATTTAAAAAATAATTGTATTGTTTTATATTTTTATTTTGTTTCCCTTCTACGTGACTTTACCGAAAGAACCAAGAATATGAATCCCTGCAGTCACGAAAGCTTTAAATCAAAACTTCTGCTTTGTGTTCATATACAGCTTTCATCACTGGTGTTTTGAACGCCATTCTGGTATTTATTGTCCCACCATTCAAACTCGTCTCACTGTTGTGTGGCATTACTCTAAGCCTGCTTATAGCCCTGTTCAAAGCATGTCTACATTTTACTCTGGAATAAGGTCCAATTAAAATTCTGGTCGCACCCACCAGGCCACAATAACCAAATTGTTGCTTTGTAAGAATCCATATGAAGTGATTGTCACGTGCTGTTAATGCTTGAATAGTTAAGTCTGAATGTATTTTGGTTGTAGAACTAATATACAACATTTAAATATGAGAGCATGCGTTGGGGCACCCATCTCACGTTCAAACCGACAATGGGTAGTACGAGTGCCTTTTTAAAGTGTAATGTCACTCGTAATTATGCAACGTCACTAACACTTGCATTATGTGGTGATGTGTCGGCCAGTCCTCACTGCATTTAAAATACATCCCTCAGAAGAAAGTGAGCCTATGGATAAAGATGCTTTGGTCACCATCGATAGACCATGTGTCACTGCCACTGACAACACCTCCCAGATGGACACCTGTGTGGCTCTCTAATTGCTTTAATGTAATGCCTCAATTTGTTCCTACACTAAGGTGCTGCATTGGAGAGGAGTGTTTAAATGCAAGTGATGTGTTTCTCGATAAATGGGGCGTTGCATCATGAGGTGCAGTGAAGGCTGTCCTGAGTCAACTCGGTGTCCATCGCAGCCAACTGCAGTGGACGACATGCCGACTAAACCCAAGGACCTGACCACATTCATTAACACTGCCATGAAGATACATATAGCACCGTGTTGCAGTGTGGTTGTGCAGCTGTGGGGGTGATGGAGGGATGGTGTCATGGAGTGGAATACTTTACAGATCGGAGTGTGTGAGGGTTTGATGGGTGCCAGAATGCTGGAGAGGCGGCTCTGCCAGGTGTTTGAGCCTCAGATTCAGGAGAAACAATGTGGATTCTGTCATGATCGTGGAACAATGGAGCAGATATTTTCCCTCTCACAGATATTTGCGGGGCCATGGGAGTATGCTTCTCCAGTCTACCTCCGCTTTGTAGGCTTGAAGAAAGCATGTCACCATGTTCCCCGCAATGTCTGGGATGTGCTGCGTGAGTACGATGTACTGGTGCTGCTTTTGTGCACTATCAGATCTCTCTATTCCCCGAGTGAGAGCTGTGTCCGTATTTTTGGTGTTAAAGTCGTTCACTGTGGGTGTTGGACGCCGCCAACGGTGTGTTTTGTCTCCACTCCTGCTTGTGATTTTAATCAACAGGATATCAAGGTGCAGCCGAGGTATGGAGTGTATCCAGTACGGGGGCATGAAAGTGGCGTCCCTGCTTTTTGCAGATGACGTTGTCCTCTTTGCCTCGTCAGTCTGTGATCTCCAGCGTGCACTTGAACGGTTCGATGCCGAGTGTGAAGCGACTGGGATAAGGATCTGAGGGCATGGTTCACTCTGGGGAGACGGTGGATTGTTCTCTCCAGGTGAGGGGGGAAGAGCTACCCGTAGTCGAGGAGTTTAATTACCTGGAGGTCTCTTTCACTAGTTGTCAGTGGGAGCGGGAGAGCGGGAGATCTGCCGGCGGATCGGTGCGGCGTCCTCAGTGTTGCAGGCACTGTACCATTACGTGGTAGTGAAGCAGGAGCCGAGTTCTCGAAAAAAGCTCTCGGTTTACAGGTCGAACTACATTCCCACCCTCACCTATGGTCATGACCTTTGAGTAATGACTGAAATTATAAGATCGTGGGTACAAGGGGCCGAAATGAGGTTTCTCTGCAGGGTTGCCGGGCTCACTGTCTGTGATTGGGTGAGGAGCTCGGTGATCCAGGAGAGCCTCAGTCGAGCCGCTGCTCCTCCGGATCGAGAGAAGCCAGTAGAGGTGGTTCGGGCACCTGGTAAGGATGCCCCCCCGGTAGACTCCCCCTGGAACTCTACCGGGCATGTCCCCACTGGGCGAAGGCCACGGGACCGGCCCAGGACACGCTGGTGGGACTGTCGCTCGGCTGGCCTGGGCACGCCTGAGAATTCCCCAGGAAGAGCTAGAGTCTGTCGCCAGGGAAAGGGAGGTCTGGACCGCCCAACTCGGCATGCTCCTGCTGCGACCCTCACCCGGACGAGCGGATTGAGGAACGAACAAACAATTATTACACTATATATTTTATATATATTTTATTGTTTCCCTTCAAGGTGACTTTACCGAAAGAGCTAAGAATATGAATTACTGCAGTCACGAAAGCTTTAAATCAAAATTATTACACTGTCACAACTTGCTACACAAACCCACCCACATGCCCCACAGCCTACAACCTTCAGCACAAACTGGGCACCGGGGTTTATGTCCAAGTGCTTACATTTCAACCCGAGTGGATAAAGCTCCCCGGGCCCTCAGTGTGGTCTTCTCACAACAAATGGAGCATTTACTGCTCTATCCGTGGTCTGCTTACAACTCACATTTGGTTGAGCTCCCGTGGTCCTTGGTGTGTGTGGAGGGGGGGGAGAAACAGTTTGTATAGATGTCATAGTTGATTGTTAACATCCTTCAACCAATCCACGGCAGCAGTAGGTGTTGTATGTACTGCAGCAATACCGCCAGGGTGTGCGTGGATGGCGCACTCGTCGGTGATGTGTTTGATGGTTTCGGCTTTACCACAGTCGCAGCTTGGCGATTCTTTGATTTTCCATTGATGGAACATGTACAAACATATCCCATGATGTGTTTGAACATTGTTGGAGAGAGAATCCCGGTTCATCAATAGTCGGGTCCTCAATTATGTTTTTGTTTGCCATGTTCGTAGCTGTCCACCATTCAGACCAACGAGTGTGGGTGTCTTTATTTCCAGCTGCCACAGTTGAGGTGAGTATCCAGATTGGCTTCCTGGATTTAAGCCTTGGGCATGAGAGTTCCTTTATATCTTGGTGGAGCGGTAGGGTGAAGTTTTACATGATGTTGTACTCCCTAATCGTCGTGGTATCACGTCGGATGTTGGCTGGAGCGATGTTCACGAGTACAGGAATCCACAGGAGCAGAGTGGACTTCAGGGTGCCGCTGATGGTACGAAGTGCAGTGTTGATTTCGTTGTCGATGAGGTTTGTGCGAGGACTGGCCCTCCACAGTGGTGCACATTACTCTGCTGCAGAGTGGACCAGGTCCTGCGTTGATATCTTCAACATGTGGGCATCACTTCCTCGTGTTCCCGCGAGTTTCAGGATATTGTTCACTTGTGCTTTTGTTTTTAATTTTGGCTTGTTCAAGGTGGTGCCAGTAGTTGAGCATTCAGTCTAGGGTAACTGAGGACCGACGTCCACCACACCGCCCTCGCGAGGCAGGTGAGACGCGACATCCGCCCATTCCGCTCCCTCCTCCACCGCGTCAGTTGGCTCCCGCCGGGCCCCCCACCAACCGAGTGACGGGGCCCCCCCCACGCTAGCGCCCTTTCGGAGGGACATACTCGTGCTGCTGGCTTTGGAGCCACCACGGAGTTAGACCACACGGCCTGTACACACCGTAGCTATCACTGACAAAGCGGGCCGTGAACGCGCTCGCACCTGCGAGCGATTACCTCTTAATGCATGCACACGCCGCAGCCCTGCGTTCACTCTCGCTGCGCGGTCCCCCACGCAGTCGCTTCACACAAATCAAAGACACCACACCTATGCTCTGTGCTAAATTGTATTCTCGGCACAAACCACGCACTACCAGGGGGGGAATATTTTGCGAGAAGAGCCTAGCCTAAGTCCCCAGTCACTCAAACGCCCTACCACGTAACTCGTAGCTGTACTCGCGGTAAAATCACGTAGATAGAAAAAAAATCCCGGCGTCTACAAATTAAGCTGTATCTGCGGCAGAAGTTACATTGGGGAAACTAAACGACGTCTCGGAACATAAGGCAGATCTGAAACACAGCAGGACCAATACGTCTGCCATGGCTGATTATTACTTTAATGCGGCTGACTCACATGAAATGTATTTCTCTAAGACGGTGGTACTTTGCAAGCCGACTGGCAATCAACAAAGATTAGTTCACGAAGCCATCCATGTATACAGATACGGAAACAATTTCAACCGAGACGACGGTTTAAACTCGACAATCATTGGAAAGATCAGTTTAACACGTAGGCTTTCGCGACCAATATTATTCATAATAAAGGTTCTTGGGTTAGATCGCGTTTATTTATAAATGTGTCGTAACCCTCCACCACCGTGTCGGGTGGTGGAGGGTTACGACACATTTATAAATAAACGCGATCTAACCCAAGAACCTTTATTATGAATAACATTGGAAAGATGTCATCAACCACTTTGGGTCATGACTTGATTTGTGTTTTCTTGTCAACCTCTACCGTTAGTGTGGATGTGTGTAGCGAGGTGCAATGCCCCCCCCCCCCATCCATCCCCCCCCCCCCATCTATCCCCCCCATCTGTACCTTCTTGTGGCCCCCATTGTCTAACATACTTGGCCTGCGCCCTCGCCTTCAGCTCCACCTCTATCTATACCCCCCTCCCCTTATCTCTACCCCCCCCCCCCCCCATTGTCTCCCCGCCCATGCTGTGTACACACAATCCTCCTCCCAACTCCCTCATTGTCTACTCTACCCCCCCTTTCTCCCCCTATCTCTACCCCCCTCTCTTTCCCCCTATCTCTACCCCCCTCTCTTTCCCCCTATCTCTACCCCCCCCCCCCCATTGTCTCCCTGCCCATGCTGTGTACGCACTGTCCTCCTCCAACCCCCCATTGTCTACTCTACCCCCCTCTCTCCCCCTATCGCTACCGCCCCTCTCCCCCTATCTCTAACGTTGCTTTTCAGGCCGGAATATCTTTGCGTGGAATTCTACTACCAATTTGATGACATTTGTTGCGCTTTTGCACGTAGCAGGGAAGACCGCAAGCAGGTTGTTATCTTCTCCCCCGCAGTGGGCCCTGCAGACACGCCTCTCCGTAATAGCCCAATCAGCCCCGCAGCCCCAGGTACAGCACTCGGCTTCTCAGGCAGCACTGCTTGAGGCTCTTTGCATCCTTGGATGTGGTTTCTACACACTCCAGCAGTTGATAAGGCCTTCCTGCTGGTGGCTGGTTCCAGCTGCCCCCACCTTCTTTTCTCCTCCCCCATAGTGTCATTTGAATTGCCCTTTTCCACCCTCATTTGTATTATCTGTCGGGGATCACACCAGAATGCTGTTTGAGCCACGCCCACATTTGTATCACATTTCCTAACATGCATAGGCATGCTCCATCTCCTCTCACAAACACAAAACGAGTCATTCTCCCACATATACACCGAATGAACTCTATTGGGGTATGGGATTCTTTCACTTTTTCACATTATCTCCCAAGAAGAAGCAACGTTTTCTTCGACTCTTTAACATGAGCCTGAAATAGAAGCCATTCCACCGACTAACACTATTTTCATGACCGACTCCTCAGGTAGTCGGCTCCAATGTCAGAGATGTTAATAATCCGTATGGTATATCTACACGGCTGCAGTGACAATGCCCATCTCATTACACGGTCATTTTAAATTTGTGGCCTGTTAAGGAAATTAGTGTCTTGTGATGAGTTTCCAATAAATCACAACCAGAGATAAACATCAATAATTTATGCACTGCCCATACCAAAGCCAAATACTTTTTGGATAGTCAACTTTCACCTCTCCCTTGGTAACAATTAC